TTTTTTTTGTTAAGTCAAACGGTATCTCGCATCTAGTCTCCTTAGTGGAGTCTTGTCCTTTTTATGAGGTTGTGTTTTACGTGTTCTTTTGATGTCAATTGGCACATCGATTGTATTCTTCATATTATAGTTTTCTAGTTATTAATTTTGTTGTGGTTAAAATAAATAAATAAATAAAACAGGTGTTGCCTTTAGTAAGACGTTGATCCTCCTATAGAATATTAAATCCACCAATCATTCATGAAACATTGATAAAAGCATTTGTTTGATTGAATTTTTATTTTATTATTATTATTATTTTTTTGGGTAATTTATTTGGTAAAAATGTTGAACTATAATTATGTGTTTTTTCTTCAAAACACGTATACTTTTCAATACCTTACCGATGCGTAAATCTTGGCACTGTCATTTCCAATAGATGCCAGCTCTAGCATTACTTTCTTTAAAGTCAAATTACAATCTGTTACCGTTGACTTAAGTGGCTGAATTATTTAAATGAATATATATAACTAGTATGTAATTTGTTTCGATAAATTTTATAATTGATGGCTAAATCAATAAGTTAATATCCATAAAGCATTTGTTAATTAGGTAATCGTAAAATGTTAATCATGAAAAGTCATACATTATTAAAATTATCTTTGCTTTTTCATGCAAAATTATTTTGCACTTGACAATCGTAGATCGATATTTAATTATCAAGATTGCGCTCTATTTGGTAATTGCGAATTGCATAGACATCTCATTTCTTCACCTTTTTGTTCATTTCCGGAATGTTACCACCACGAATTAAAATAATAGTGAAAATATATAATATTGTGATAAATATTAAAGATATGATTTAAGAAAAGATGTTACCTTAAAGTGATTTTGAGTATATTTTTTTTCAATCATTTTTATTTTTATGCCAAATTCATTTCAATCTTGAGAACAATTTTGTTTTTGTTATGTTCTAACAAAGATTTAGAATTTTAATAATACCTTTTGTAAATTAAAACAATATTTACAAGAATATTTAAAAATAATAAATAGCGATACATTATCATTTGTAGCTCAAAACTAACTAAATGAATGGAAGGACATGTAAATCACGGTTTTTAAATGAAAAAAGTATTTCATGCATAAATTGGTAAAAAATTGATTTAAAATGTTAAAAAAATTATCGTGATAATATAAACAAAAAGATATGTTTGCATGAGTAGTAGAATAGTGAATAGTTACCATGACAGAAATGAAATCTTTACAAATATTTTTTACTTTAGTTAAGTTGCATATATTGCATAACTATATGTGAAAAAAAAAATTTAAAGTTCAAATATAAGATTTATTCATATGTATATAATAAAGTGTACAGTCCAAATATTTAAATTTTGTTTAGCATTTATATTATTAATATTGATACCATGATTATTGTAAAGTTCTACTCTCATTTTTACGGTAAAATTATATTATATTAAAATGAATTGATAAGTCTAAAAAGAGATATAGATTGAATTAAAAAGATTGAATCGTGGTTAAATTATTTAATTCTATAATTATACTGATTTTACAGAGACACTTCATAATATTTGATTCCATAATATTACGACTTTCAAATAAAATTGATTCCATAATATCAGCGATGATGATGGTACGCTGCTATGGTCTTTTTTTTTTTTCTTTTTTTGTTTTAATATTTTATTTTTTGGTTTTAATTTTTTAGTTTTAATTGTTTCCACTATGGCATTTCCACCTGATTTTAATTTTTTGTTTTTGGGGTTTTATTTTTATTTTTTGATTTCCAATTTAGTATAATTATTTTCACATGGCATAATTGAATTATTAAATTCAAATGAAGACGCCACGTCAGATAAAAAATGGTCATGTCGCGCCATGTCACATTTTTATCCAGAGTGCGGATAAAAGATGACCAAGTTTGATTAAATTGTCAAATTATTGGATCAAACTTTTGAAAGTGGTCAATCTCGGAGTGGAAAATTGGACATTGGTCAAATTATAAGGCCAATTTAAAATTATGCCGATATATCTTCAAGAAAAATGGGAATCTATATATATATTAAAAGCCAACCTATTTACCAAAAATAGTAGCAAGAAAAGTCAACACACATTTAATGCATACCTTATTTGGAAATTTTTTACTATATGCATTTTTTTTTTCCAAAACGACAGATAATTTTATAAATCAAAATGCACAAATGTGCGAATACACAACAGCCAACGGCTGAATACACAGCAGCCAACAGCTGAAAAAGTGGGAGGACAGGTCTGAAGACCGCCTAGAATCCCGACTAGCAACGCTAGAATAAGGCTCGCAACAAACTAACCAACTAAGAAACTAAAACAACTAACAACAACTAAAAGAGACCCCAACATGCTATATGCATTAAATGCTTGCATATTTACATTTATTATCTATATATGATCTTAAATATTTTTTCCTTAAATAATTTATGCAATGATTTTACTGATATTCATCATAATTAATATTTGTCGAGTAATATTTTTTAACTTTTATTTAATTATATAAAACTAATATTTTTTAAAAAAAATAATATTATTTATCATTTAAAAGATAATTATCACATCATTAAATGATTTTATCATTAAATGATTTTATTTATGGTTAGATAATAAAATTATATTAGTTATTCTTTAAAAATTTTACTAAAATAAAAACCGGCTTAAGAAAAAAAAAATCTCATATCATCCGATAAGTCAAAAAAAATGTACGTAAAATCTTTACTAAAATGAAAAAGACTTTATTTATTTGTCTTATTCTATAATAACACCGATTTAGTCAAAACAAATCTCATAATCGGTGAAGTCAAAAAATGTACGTAAAGCCTATTTATACTAAAAAAAGACATATTCAAAATTCCTTATCTAATTTCTGTTTAAAGCATTTTATTTAATATTTATTTATATGAAATATTGGATATGATTATTGGATCTGAGTCAATTTTAAAATCGCGTTGTTTGATATGAGAGGATTATCCGTATTCTATATCTGTCTAAAACATATTATTTTATATTATTTAATTAATTTATTTAATATTAAATTTTTTTATCCATGATATCATTTTTGTCAAAAAAATTGAACAAACAAACAAATAAAAAAGAAACGGGATTAATTACCTTCGACTTGTAAAAAATTTATGGGTGGACGTAAATATTTAACAATGTTGTTTCGAGTTCCTTAAATAATACTATAACTATGATGTTGAAATATAATCTGTTTTATGAGTGACGTAAATATGCTGTTTAAATTTTCCTAAAATATTTTTTTTAAAAATAATGTTGTTTAAAGTTCCTTAAATATTATTTTATTTAAAGTATACACATGTTGTAATATATTAAAGTCAAAACAATGTTTGAAAGCTTTTGAATTATCTAAGTTAATTAATTTAAATGTTTAATCACATTAAATCTTCAATCCATGGAATATTTTTACTACTCCCGTGAGCATGTTGTTTTGTTATTGTAATCAACTTATACACTATTTTACTAATAAATTATTTAATATCTATGTACAAGGAGGTTTTTTAATAATATATAATTTTTTTTGTCAAATACTATTTTATTGTATAATTTTCCTGCGTACTATAAAACTTTTATTGAATATTGCATCTTATAATATAATATTCCCTAAATAAATATATCCCGTGTCTCTCACCGGTCCCGTACTATATATATCCCGTACATTTTTTTATTCATTTATATAATTATAAGGCTGGATAAATAACTTTAAAATTGTGCACCCCATGCACCGCACGGGTTCTGTACTAGTTTTTCAAGAAAATAGAACAGAAAAAGAAAGGGTGTGGTTATTTTCATATCCAACTATATCTTCAAGAAAAGGAAAAAATAATTTGATCAAGAAATAGTATACGATCGCTATATAAGCCTTGCGAACTACTCACCTCACTAATTCTAGTTAAATTTGACTTGTCCTTTATAAACAAAAACTTGTTAGGCCCATTTAAGATAGCTTTTGTGCTTTATAACAATCGAATCCTGGCCTAGTAATAAAATATTAAATACATAACTTGGCACCAAGCAAAACAAAAACAGAATTTTGGTGGACTCAAACGTAGTAGACGAGATAAATCACATCAAATCAAACAACAAAGTAAAAGCAAAGCAATCAACTTGTAGAAAAGCAATTGCCTTTGCAGGAAGACAGTAGAAGATCTATCCCGTGATAAAATGCAGTCCAATAATTGTAAGTCGGCAGTCACTATTTACCTTAGCTTGTCACAATTTGGATTGTAGTAAATATCCACTAATTACATGACAAACAACAAAATATATAGTGAA